ATGTGCTTCGGTATCTGAGTCATCGGCTTCGTCGGGAGAGGTCGCTCGGGTATGGCCGGTGGATGTACCGCCTGCTAGCTGTCATTGGTTGCTCGGTAGGGGAAGACCCATTTCCCGACAGTAGGCCTTATAGCCGTCACGCTGGTGGACTGGGAGGGGGGTGGTGTCATCTATAAGGAAGTCACGGGAGAGATCCTTTCGGGAAATGTACTTGGCGGGCATCTTCGGTTCCTCAATATCAACCCCGAAGTATTCGGCCAATCACGCCACCACATGGCCTAAGTTTGGGCCACGCCTAGAATCGTTCCGTACATCAAAGAGAGACTCCTTCAGATATTGCAACATGGTGACTGGTTTGCCTTGTGAGATTGACCACAAAATGAATACCTGTTGCTCGCTGACCTTGTTCGACTCCTTCTTTCTAAAGATCATGTGGGAGATGTACTTGTGGATCACCACTAGAGGTAAGTCGCTGATTAAACTCGACGAAGGCCCGGCTTTCTTATACTTTTCGCAAGGGGAAATGGCCGACCAATGCGGGTCGACTTTCCATCTCATGGGGCTATGGCCCTGCGTCGATTGAGGTATTGAACTTGTAAATGTCGCGCAAGACTTTGTCGGTTATTTTGTACTCCTTGCCCTCAAGTCGAGCAGTAAGGTATTTCCCATTCTCGTGCCGGGTGACCGTGCTGAAAAATTCGACAGTTAAGCCCCGGTAGGTGTATGCCTCTATGTCCTCGAATTCCTCGAGGTCGAGCAATTTGATGTAGCGGTCGATATCTTCACCGATCCCGAGCTCGTCATTGAAATAATCCCAATCGATGATGCGTGGGTTAGGAAAAGGCTTGGAGGAGAGCCGTTGATATGCCGTGACCTCGTCCATGGACACGACTTCAAAAGGGACGTTGTGTTGTTCGGCTAAGGACTGAGGTGCGGCTGCCGGGGCGGGATTGGAACTCGTGGAGCCCGGCGCTTTGGACTTTGACGCTGCGGGCCACTTTTTCTTCGAAGCACCGGTAGTTTTTCCCATTATTTCTAGTTCGGGCAATTCGTCGAACACTTGGTGGACGGAATTAAGGATGAAGAACTAGTGAACAAGTTGAAGCCGAATGATCCCGGAGTAGGCCTCCTCACGCCACAACAATCGACCACAAAGCAATTTGGAGAAACAACAGTACCTTTGGAGTGATTGTCGGACGAAATTGATTAGGTATCTATGAGCTAGGGTTCGTTGAGAAGACTTGGAAGGGCCAACTTCTCGATTCCAAAGACAGCAGTGGCCGGAGATAGGTCGCCGGAGCTGCTAGACGGACGGTGGTCGGAAGTGGTTGCCGGAGTTCGGTGTTCGGAGGAGTGAACGGACGATTGTTGTATTTCGCCGAAGGGGGGGGGTGCGTATTTGAGAGATGATGTGTTTGTTGTGAATGAGGGAAAGGCTGCGTTTTTTTTTTTTATTAAGTTCCAGACCTTAGCGGCGCTAAGGAGGGTTAGCGCCGCTAAGGTACCTTAGCTTCTCCCCTCTGTACTCGCTATAAAGCATAAGCACCGCTTTTGATTTTGCCTTAGCGGCGCTAAGGAGGGTTAGCGCCGCTAAGCCACCTTAGCTGCTCCCTTCTGTACTCGCTATAAAGCATAAGCGCGGCTTTTGATTTTGCCTTAGCGGCGCTAAGAAACCTTAGCGCCTCTAGTACCTGCTACTGCATTTTTTTTTTTTTCTAAGGAAAGAAAAGAAATGAAATATATATATATATATATAAATTAAAATATAAATAGATATAAATACATATAGTACAATTAATTGCTCGGTTTGAAGCCGGGAGCTCGGTTTAAGTTCGATCAAGGATACGGGGGTTCGTCGAGACCAATAGTCTCGACATGGTGCTTTCCAAATTCTCCATCGAAGTACTGTTTGATCCTCTGCCCATTCACTACAAACAACTCGCCGTTCGGGGGATTCCGGAGTCGGACGGCTCGAAGTGATAGCACTTCATCAATGATATAAGGTCCGCTCCATCGGGACTTAAGCTTCCCCAGAAAAAGACGAAGGCGAGAATTGAACACGAGTACCTTCATGCCGGGCACGAGATTTTTCCGGACAATGGTCGAGTCGTGAAGCCTTTTAACCTTGTCCTTGTAAATTTTGGAATTGTGGTACGCCTCATTTCTCAACTCTTCAAGCTCGGAGAGTTGCAACACTCGCTCTCGTCCGGCTGCCTCGAGATCAAAATTCATCTTCTTAATGGCCCAAAATACCTTGTGCTCAATCTCGACCGGAAGGTGGCACGCCTTTCCATAGACAAGCCGGAACGGGCTCATCCCCAAAACTCCCTTATACGCTGTGCGTTGGGCCCAGAGTGCGTCATCGAGCCGGCTCGACCAATCTTTTCGAGACGAGTTCACCGTCTTCTCAAGAATAGTTTTGATTTGTTTGTTGCTCGTCTCAGCTTGCCCCGAGGTCTGTGGGTGGTATGGGGTGGCTACCTTGTGTGAGATTCCGTACTTCTTCATCAGCTTTTCGAAGAGTCGGTTGCAAAAATGCTTGCCCCTGTCACTTATAATGGCCCGTGGGAAACCAAACCTGCTCAAGATATTTCCTCGCAAAAACTTTATAACCACATTAGCATCACATGTTCGTGTGGAGATAGCCTCGACCCACTTGGACACGTAATCTACAGCAAGGAGGATATATTCGAAGCCAAAGGACTTGGGAAACGGTCCCATGAAATCAATGCCCCAAACATCAAAAATCTCAACCTGCAAATTATTCACAAGGGGCATTTCATTTCTAGAACCAATGTTCCCAATTCTTTGACATCAGTCACACGATTTACAAAAATTATGAGCATCCTTAAAAAGAGTTGGCCAAAATAAACCTGATTGGAGGACTTTGATAGCGGTCTTACGGCCCCCAAAGTGTCCTCCGCATTGAAACTCATGACAAAAGGCCAGGACATCCGGTTGTTCTTCCTTGGGCACACACCTCCGAAGGATTTCATCTTTTCCCATCTTGAAAAGGAGTGGGTCGTCCCAAAAATAGCTCCTACACATCAAAACAAACCGTTTCCTCTCCTGGGAAGAGAGGTTAGCCAACAAAACACCATCTGAAAAATAATTCACTATGTCTGCATACCAAGGCACACTAACCACTTCATTCGCATGCTCATATGGAAATCATCATTTATGCCTACATGTTCATGCAATGCAAGTGAAGGATCAAAAGGAACAATGCGAGACAAGTGGTCAGCAACAACATTTCCACAACCCTTCCTATCACGAATTTCGACATCAAATTCTTGCAACAATAAAATCCACCTAATAAGCCTAGGTTTCGATTGAGTTTTACTCAAGAGATACCTAAGAGCTGCATGATCAGAATGCACAATCACTTTAGACCCCAAGATGTAGGACCTAAATTTTTCAAGAGAGAACACAACAGTTAATAGCTCTTTTTCAGTGGTCGTGTAATTCAATTGGGCACCATTTAGGGTCAAGCTAGCATAATAAATTACACGAAGCAATTTATCAACTCGTTGGCCCAAAACGGCTCCCACAGCAAGATTCGTTGCATCACACATAATTTCAAATGGTAAAGACCAATCAGGTGCAATCACAACAGGAGCAGTCACAAGTTTATTCTTCAATTTATCGAAGGCATCTAAACACGCATCATCAAACACGAAAGGCACATCATTGGCAAGCAAGTGACACAAAGGCTGGCTAATTTTTGAAAAATCTTTAATAAATCTTCTATGAAAGCAAGCATGACCCAAAAAACTTCTAACTCCCTTAACATTCACAGGAGGGGGGAGTTTTTCAATCACATCAATTTTTGCCTTATCAACTTCAATTCCACGACTAGATATCACATAACCCAACACAACTCCACTCGTCACCATGAAGTGACTTTTCTCCCAACTCAATGTCAAGTTAGACTCAATACACCTCTCAAGCACATGAGATAAATTATGGAGACAATCAGAAAATGAAGTACCAAATATAGAGAAGTCATCCATAAATACCTGTAAGCAATCCTCAAGCATGTCGAAGAAAATGGAGAACATGCACCGTTGGAAGATCCCGGGTGCATTGCTAAGGCCGAAAGGCATACGTCTGAAAGCAAATGTGCCGAATGGGCACGTGAAGGTTGTCTTGGGCTGATCCCCTGGAGCTATAGCCACTTGGTAGTAGCCCGAGTGTCCGTCGAGGAAGCAATAAAACTGGTGGCCCGAGAGTCGGTCGAGAATTTGATCAATGAACGGCAACGAAAAGTGGTCTTTATTGGTCACGACATTGAGCCGCCGGTAGTCAATACACATCCTCCATCCGGTAGTGATGCGGGTGGGGACCATCTCCTTCTTCTCATTTTCGATCACCGTGATGCCCCCCTTCTTTGGCACCACATGGATGGGGCTGACCCACTCGCTGTCGGCCACTGGATAAATGAGCCCCTTGGAGTAAAGCTTCAATACTTTCTTTTTCACAACCTCCGTCATGTTCGGGTTGAGCCGTCGCTGGCTATCCCGAAATGGCCTGGCACCCTCCTCCAAAACGATCCGGTGCATGCAAGTGGAAGGGCTGATCCCCTTTATGTCGCCTAGGCTCCAACCGATGGCCTTTTGATTCTTCTTAAGCACCTCGATCAGCTCCTTCTCTTTTTCTTGATTAAGCTCGGCAAATATGATAACCGGCTTTTGTTTCTCATCATCGAGGAAAATGTACTTGAGGTGACGAGGTAACTCTTTCAGCTCTAGCGTTGGTGGGGCCTTCGGTCTTAGCTCCTCGACCTCCATTAGCTCAACAAACGGTCCTTTTTCCTCTTCGAGATCGGGCAATGACCTCTCTTCCAAGTCTCGTATGGCCATCTCCTCGACAAAAGGATCACTCACATCAACGAACGAACACTCCTCCACAAAGTTCGCCGAAGGGCCAGATGTGGCCTCTCGGACAGAGATAGACACGGAATCGCCTAGGACCGTCATGTTCAAGGTCCCGTTCTTGACATCAATGAGGGTGTTGGTGGTGGCCATAAATGGCCTGCCGAGAAGGATGGTATGGTCATTCCCGTTCTCATGAACGTCCCCCACATCGAGCACTACAAAGTCCACCGGGACGATAAGCTTTCCCACGCGAACAAGAACATCCTCAACTACCCCCTTGGGGTATCTAATCAAACGGTCAGCAAGCTGAAGACACATACGAGTGGGTCTCAAATCTCCTAAACCGAGCCGCTGGAAGATAGAAAACGGCATTAAGTTGATTCCCGCTCGTAGGTCGAGCATTCCTGAAGCTTCTTTTCCATTCCCAAGAGCAATCTTTATCATGAAGCCTCCAAGGTCTCGTTCCTTCTTTGGAAGATCGTGCTGCATGGCACTTGCCGCCTCATAGACTATCACCTTCTCCCCGTCTCCGAACTTCCTCTTTTTTGTGACCAAAACTTTAAAGAACTTAACGTACGATGGCATACTCTTGATCACCTCTAGGAGAGGAAAGTTTACATTGACCTTCGAGAGCATATTGTAAAGGTCTCGGAATTGTTGCTCTTGCTTCTCGTCACGGAGTCTACTCGGAAAAGGGATGCGTGGCTTGTAAGGGTTTGGTGATTTGTGAAGCAAAGGACTCTCTGTTGGATCTTCTGAGTCGGTTTTTGTGGTCTTCGTACTCTCCTCGGTTTCTTTGGGCTGGTCGGTTGTTCTTGGGACATCGGGCTCGGGCATTTTCACTTTGTTGTCCACTTCCTTACCGCTCCTCAACACAGTTATTGCTTTGGCTTGCTCGGGCTGGCTCGGAAGTTTCCCTTTGTCGGACTCAGCCTCCATGTTCCCGACTCTTGTGGCGAGCTGACCCACTTGCGTCTCGAGACGCTTAATGGATGAGTCCTGGTTGGTGATAAACTGAAGGATCTTGTCCAGCTTGTCATCTTGGTTAGACGAGCTTGAACCGGACCCTTGGGTTGGCTGTTGAGGTTGCTGTTGTTGTTGGTAGTTCAGGCGAGGGATGAAATTGGGATGGGATTGCTGCTGCATGAGGTTGGGACGAGGCTGTTGTTGGTTGAAGTTTGGACGAGGTGGCTGGAGGGTGTTGTTGTTGTTGGACCACGAGAAGTGTGGGTGGTTTCTCCACCCTGGATTGTAAGTGTTGGAGAAGGGGTCGTTGGGCTGCCGGTTCTGATACTCTTGGAGGGCGTTGACATCTGCATATTGTTCTCCCACCTCCTGGTCGAAAGCTGATGGGCACACCTCTGACTGGTGCCCTTGGGCTCCACACGCCACGCATGTATCCACTGTCATGGTCTGGACTGGCTGCATTGTCTGAGCATTCATCAGCCTCATTTGCTCCGTCAGCTCGGCTATCTGATGGGCCATCATGTCTCGACCCGAAGATACTTCATTGACCACTGCTCTCTTTCCTCGACTGCTCTTCTGAGACGAGCTAGAACTTAACGCCTCAAAAATATCCATCATCTCCTCCGCTGTTCTCGCCCCAATGTCTCCACCAGCTGCATTGTCCACCATGTACTGAAGGTTTTGGTAGAGACAATCATAGAAGCCATTCATCAAAAGGGCCGGAGGGAGATTGTGGTGTGGGCACTGTCTCTGTAGGTCCTTGAAGCGTTCCCACGCTTCGTGAAGTGGCTCGTGCGGTTGTTGGGCAAAAGAGACAATTTGGGACCGCATCTCTTGAGAATTTTGGTGGGAGTAGTACCTCCCAATGAACTTCGTGTACACTTGCTCCCAAGTGGTAAGGGAGTCTGGAGCAAGTGTCATCAGCCATGCCTTAGCCCGATCCTTGAGTGTTTCTGGAAAACACCTCATTTTCAACTGATCCTCATTTAATCCGTGGAGTGGAAACGTTTGGAGGACATTGTAGAATTCACGCATGAAGTGAAGTGGATCTTCATTGGGAAGACCATGGAAGGACGGGAGTTGGTTGTAGTGGATGGTTTTAAGCTCGTAGTTCCGAGATGCTGTCCCCAGTCTGATGCATGAAGTCACTGGCCCAATCACCGGTTGAGCCAAATCTCGATGGAGAGACTTAGGAGGATTGTTGACCTCCTCATCTTGTTCATTCTGTGCCATATCGGTTTGGTCTTCTGATGTAGATGATACTGGTGCGAGACTATCTAGTAAGTCTCGTAGGTCCTGTTGGATGGATTCGTTGTCTGGGATGATTACACGACTACTCCTGGTACGCATAAACATTGATGCTAAGGCCTTAGCGGCGCCAAGGCACCTTAGCGGCGCTAAGGCCTGGAAGATCAACATTGATGCTTTTTCTTCGGTTCGTGTGCTCGTCCATGTCGCTCGGGTACTGCCTGAGCTGGAAACTCAACTTTAGCATGTTTGATGTTCGAACAACACACTTCCCTTCTTGTCAGAATGCTCGTCATCCGATCAACCTAAAACCTAGAACCACCACAACGGGAAAGAAAAACACGAAAAATGTAGAAAATAGGAAAGAAAATACTAAACACACCGAAATAAAGATAAAAGCATAAGAGATGACAAAGAGGACCGAAAATACCTAAGAAAAGACCTAAAACGGGAGAAACGACACACAAAATATCAACGAAAAATAGCAACAAAAACGGGACAAACAGAATGCTAGGTGACGAAGCTACTCAGACCCAGCGTGAGTGAGAGCTCACCAACCCAATCTCCCACAAAGCCTAGAAGAGACGGAAATGACCTCAGCCTCGAATCGACGAGCTCCTATACCAGTGGCGCGACAACAAGCCTGAAGGTGAAGGGGGGACGCCAAAACTGAAGGTTGAAAAACCTTGTTTTTTCTGATTTAGGAGAGAACAAGAGGGGCGCGTCCCCTGCGCGTGTAATTAAACTATCGAATTTAAATTATATTTGGTCGGTTTCACAAGTGAGAATTGGGAGGAAATTTTCTCAATTATATGCCATTACATTATCTCAATTATATTTTTTTGGAACCACCACAACGGGAAAGAAAAACACGAAAAATGTAGAAAATAGGAAAGAAAACACTAAACGCACCGAAATAAAGATAAAAGCATAAGAGATGACAAAGAGGACCGAAAGTACCTTAGAAAAGACCTAAAACGGGGGAAACGACACACAAAATATCAACGAAAAATAGCAACAAAAACGGGACAAACAGAATGCTAGGTGACGAAGCTACTCAGACCCAGCGTGAGTGAGAGCTCACCAACCCAATCTCCCACAAATCCTGGAAGAGACGGAAATGACCTCAGCCTCGAATCGACGAGCTCCTATACCAATGGCGCGACAGCAAGCCTAAGGGGAAGGGGGGACGCCAAAACTGAAGGTTGAAAAACCTTGTTTTTTCTGATTTAGGAGGGAACAAGAGGGGCGCGTCCCCTGCGCGTGTAATTAAACTATCGAATTTAAATTAAATTTGGTCGGTTTCACAAGTGAGAATTGGGAAGAAATTTTCTCAATTATATGCCATTACATTATCTCTTGAGGTTACAAAATATTTTTTGAAATCAACTTGATCACACAACGAACATTGGCCGGCACTTTGATCTTTGATTGAATAAATTACTAGAATTATTTGACAAGGGTGTGTTTGCCAAATTACAAGATCAAAATTGTAATTCCCCGTTTTATTTTAAAGAGTTTATCCAATTTATTTATAAGAATGTTGACATGGTTTTTGCTAAACCAAATAATTAATAATTATTGGCACCAGGAGCTCAGTAATTAGAAGATTATGCTATCTCAGAGGTTGATATACTCGCGAATTTCGAGTAACTACAAGTCGGATAAGAGTGAGCCAAATACCAACATCATCGTCAAGAAACTGACATCTTGTATCGGTTATGACCTAGCAAACCGATATCTGTGACATGACAAACCGACGTTACAAGGTAGTGCCAACTCAGCAAATCATCATTACGCTTAGCCAAGTGGAGTGTTACAAGAATAAGTGGCAATCGGCGGCCATTGACTTTTCTTTTAGAATTAACGTAGTTTCAATGATCTTGTACTGTACTATAAAAAGCATGGAGAAGCTTCCAAAAGGGGACATAAAATATGAACTTTCACATTCGATAAGAACACGTTGTACCATCGTTGAATAATAATAATTTCTCTTGATAATTAACAGTACTTGCTCTAAATACTCTTTGATAATTCACTTATAACAACAGTTTGGCGCTAGAAGGAGGGCCTCATAATTTTTTGAGGTTAATCTTCGTTGTTATAGCTATCGCTTGCTCAAATCCCCATGTCACAATCTGGTCGAGATCACGCCTCCCATGCTGGGCAAAGCCATGCTACAAATCGTTCCGCAAGGTGTTCAACGCCACCACCTCCAACAACCAATATCACAAATTTTCTTCAAGATTCTGAGTTCATTCAAGGTTTAACGTCTCCTATAGCTCGAGCTACGCCCAGAGCTTCGAGCACCGTGCCATTACTTACACCTTTTCCTACAGTTCCAACTGAACAACCAAATCCTGTTCACCAGAACCAGGACCAAGAAACACACGTAGCAACATCATATGCCATGTCACAACCACGTCATACTTCTCAGCGTCGAGATGAGCTGACTCGTGTAACTGTAAATCTAGTACCAGATAATCTGGCCACGTGTGGGCCTCTTGTTCAGGAAATGACTGCTGAAAGCCATTCTGCCCATCATCACAGAGCTCCTTCATGACCTAGACCTCCCTCGCCGTTGCCTCGAGATCGTGAAGATTTACGTCATCAGATTGAACGAAATCGTGTGTCAAGACACAGTTCGGAGGAATTAGAGGCTCTCCGTAAAAGGCTTGCTGAAATAGAAACCCGACAAAAATCACAAGAAGAGTCCCCCCGACATGTCTCGACATCGGGTAATGTTACCGTTGAAACTGATTCGCCCTTGGCTCCCGAACTTACTACAGAGGCACTCCCTACTAAGATAAAAGTTCCACAAATCGGCATGTATGATGGAACTTCAGATCCTGAGGCACATTTGGGTCATTATACGTCTTGGATGGATTTGCATGGTGCGTCTGACGCTTTGGGATGTCGGATGTTTTCACTTACACTGGGGCCGCGTGCGCAAAAATGGTACTATACTCTCCCACCTCATTCAATATGGAAGTGGCAACAGCTACAAACATCCTTCCGATCACATTTTATCGGGGCCCAAGTTTGTCTCATCCCGAAAGAATCAATCACTAACATCGTACAGAAGGACGATGAAACGGTAAAAAACTATATATCTCGATTCAACGAGCAGATTCAGAATATGGAACCTTGTCATCCCGAGACTTTTTTGGTAACCGCAATCGCTGGATTAAAGCTCAATTCTATGTTTCGTTGGACTCTTTGTCAAAACAAGCCGACTACCTTTCAAGAATTCCTCGTGCGTGCTCAACAATTTATTATTGCCGAAGAGTCGATGTCGGTCCCCAGTTTCGACTTCTTGGTCAAGGAAGATAAGTCCGAACCGGAGACAAAGAAAAAGAATAAGAAGAACTTTGGAAGAACTTAATACCGAGGTTATTCGAAAGGTTATGAAGACACTCCAGAATCTAAAGCCGCCCGAGATCAGTATGCCGACGACGTAAGGACAGGTTATTCCTGATCCAAAACCTGTGAGAACTCCTAAAGATAAGCTTGACAAAAATTGTTATTGTGCGTACCATAAGTCCCCGGGACATAATACCGACGAGTTTCTTGGCCTCTTGTCGGCTCTCCTGTGTCTAATCAGATAGCCTCAACTTCAAAAATTTAGGAATTTTGATAACCGCCGCAAAAAAAAGCCCGCAGACGTCTCGAATGAAGAGGATGATGATGATCGAGGCGCCAATCCGAAAAGAATCCGTGCAACCGACAAGGAGGTTTTTATGTTTTCTAATCTTGTCGGAACTTCGACCGATGAATGAAAGAAACCCAGGACGCATGATGCATCTAATTCTTTTCATTACATACCTCGAATAAATTATAAAACTAAACAGTTGGATACCTCTCAGCGAAAGGCCAAAGCCTACGCTCGAGAAGCACAAAACGCCGGGAAGCAAGTCATGAACGTTGATCTTTGAGATACCATTTATAAACGGAATTGTCCCATCACTTTCAATATCGAAGATGCCAATTTGTTCGCTCACCCACACTCTGATGCTCTCATTATCACTGCTCTAATTGGAGGAATTCCTGTTCACCGAATTATGGTCGACACCAGAGCTTATTCAAGCATTTTGATGTTTCGAACTTTCAAGAAAATGGGTTTGGATTCTGCTGATATTAGGCCTTGTAATGATCAGATCCAGGGCTTCAACGGAAGCATTTCTTGCCCCCTCGGTGAAATCTTACTCCCCATTCGATTTGGGGGCTTCGGACCAAAATCCAAAATCATTATGGAAACTTTCAAAGTCATGGATATTCAAAATAAGTACAATGCTGTCGTAGGACG